AAGACTTACTAAAATCAATAAACAGTTGCTGTAATAATATAAACCGTAGAAAAGACTAAATATTTTGCAAAATATTTTTCTGAAACTTCGATTGCATTGAATTCAATTATTTTTTGTAAAGTTTTTGTGTTACTTGCACTTCATAAACATACTTGAATGATTTTGTTGCTTGCCTTGATATATTCATTTGTATTGGAAGCTTAGAGTACAACTTCACAAAATGATTTTCATGCGTTCAGAATTGTATTCTTAGGGTTTTGATGACCCTTTTAAACTACCCTGCAGAAAATGGGACTAGTTTGTAGCTAACTATTAACTAACTAGCAGTCGACTAGTGGTAAATATTTGTTAACTATTTCCTTTGGCCGTAACTAACTACTTTTGAAGGGCGATGGCCGAAAAATAGTTAGAACTGGTTTCCTCTGCATTAGACGTCAACTAACTTATAGCTAACAACTTTTGGAAATTCTTTATATTTTTATTTATTTACTTATTTTATTTAACATTACATATTGGCTTATTTGTTTACATGTTCTTTTTTAGGTGATCTCATATTTGAATTCGATCAGACATAACATCAAAAAGATAATATAAATTTCGACCTTTTTTTTATTTATCCTAAATACGCAAAAGAATCTGCGAAGTGCGGAAAAAAGTGTATTGAAAGTAATTTTTGTATGAGGATATTTAAATAGCAACTTGTAAATAAAACAAACTCACGATAACGTCTGCATGACTCCTGCACAATTTTACAACTAACTTAAAGTTAGTTTTGTCGTAGCTAATTAAAAGTTAGTTATTTATCGAAATCCCGCAAAAAAGCCAACTAGAAGTTGGTTATTTTAATCAATTGATGACTTTTTCTGAAGGGTAGTTATACATGGTCATCGATGATATTCAGCCTGGCTGCATGTTTACCTATCACGCAATGACGAGTTAGAAATGAGAAGTGTAACTTGTTTAGTCTCACGAGCTCCCTGGACCGCCCTCGGTCTACACGTCACCAGAAGGACTTAGCCGCCCTGCATTCCAAGGTCTTTGCGCAGCGCACGCTTAGCTGGCTACACGCCCATCTGTCCAAAAGTAGACCGCATGAGGTCAGGGGAGTACCTAGACCTTGAGCAATTTCTCAAGTTTTCCCTGTATTGTAGAGGTCATACACTAGAGAGCAAACAAAGCCTCAAAGCCTGCGGCTACGTCTGCTTGGAAAACGCTACAGTGATCCGGAAGCCTGAATTTTAAGTTGATAAAAAATTGTTTCTTTCTTTATTTTTACATTTTTGAATGAAAACAAAAATTTCATCAAATATTCGGATAGCTTGAAGATTTCTGCAAACTTTCTGTTCGCATACTATACTGGATATTTTTCTCTTGTTAGAGAACAGATTTCACCATTTCACAGGAATTTTGTTGCTGGGCGAGTTTTACTGGAGATTTTTACCTAATTTAAAAACATATATGCTGGTACTTTTTCAGCTGATTTGGTACATTTTTTTTTTTTGCGATTTGGTACACAATTAAAAAACGCATTTATCATCCCTGGTTTGCATAGGATCTTATATAACTGTTCATAGTCTCTAAAATCACTTTCTTGATACATTTCAAAATTAATATTTAATTCATGGTTTAATTTATGGTGGATAGCAAATATAATGGTATGAGATATATATTAAAAGAACATCTACATTAAATTTATATTAGAAAAACCACTGCTGCAAGCTGAATGTCCCAGAACCAAGGGACAAGGAGTCCCATCTTTAATTTCAATTTCTTAGTTTTAGGAAATTTTTAATTTTTACAAGATTTTGCTATGTTTCACCTGTGTGTAATTAAATTTTGCAATAAAATTTTAACCAACTTCCGGATGAGCTAGAGACTTAAATCTTTAAACTTAGCTCATAATTAGATGACAATGCAATGTGAGAGATGAACTAAACCGCTAGGTGGAAATGAATAACTCGATACTTCATTTTACCCGATAGGTGGCGCAGGAGTCCAGATATTCCATGTAGCCGTCGGCATAAAAAATATTAAAAATCAACGCAATCCTTCAGTAGCTTTAAACTTATTTTACTAAAATTTATTGGGCTACAAAACTTTATACTAAAAAAAATCTAAAAAAATATTTAAATTTGTAATGTACTTATTTTACTCAACTTCGGCGTAAAAAAGTTCATAACTCAAATTAAATTTTAAATATTGCGCAATACTCAGAGCTACCATTGTGATTTTTCAATTTTTGTGATGGCATATTTCCAGAAATTAATTTTCTTTATCAAAAAATTTGTATGTGAAACATTTTTCCAGAAAAAAAAAATATTTATTTTCATAGAGAATTTTGACGTGTGTATTTGCGAATTTTTTCCAATTTTTTCCTCGCCCCGTTTTCGAGATATTTGGAATACTATTAAATGGATTTGTTTTTTTTTTGTGCCCTAAAGTTTTTAAAAATTTATTAATCAAGCTCAAATTTCATACTTATTTACTATTTATGTTTGTCCATCTACCCTAAAAATTTTAAACAAATCAAACACATGAAGTGTGAACCCCGTCCATTCTGGTATGAAACGCCCCATATACATATATGCAATATTATTTTGAAATTCAATGGTCGGTAGATTACTCACAAAAGGTCTAAAAGAATTTTAAAACATTTACCCCATTCATAAATTAGCTTCGACGTTTATTGAATTGATGGTCGTGGCCATCAATAGTTTCGATAGTCACAACCATCGATAGTATCGATACTATAGAAAATGTCGACACTATCGATAGTACTGTCGATATTTTTGATTAAAAAAATTCAAAGATTAAACATAATGAAAATGAGATCAGAATTGCTAAACTATGGCCATATTTTTGTTAAGGGAAAAATGTTTATCAACGATTTTTAGCTTCAAGCAGCGTCTGCGCTCTGAAATTATTTGCCCTGCTTTGCTAAATGTCCCTTCCGATTTACAAGATGAAGCAGGTACCGCCGGCTTTTACTCTTTCTGAATAATGTATGTATGTATGAGTGAAAACTATCGATAGTGCTTACAAAACCATCGACGTTTTCGATAGTCAAAAACCATCGATACTATCGATAGTTTTCCAGCTCTAGCAGTTGACTTTTTTTTTATTCAGAAGCAACCGTTATTTTATATACATATGTACATGTAGTATTTAACATTTCATCAGATAATTTGTTCCGCTTTATGCATTAAACACCAGTTACAATTGAAAAGATTCTTTCTTAATCAGCGCTTGAATTGGTCAAAGGGAGAAAAATTTCAAAATCGTCCTTATAATTTTTAATACTTATACATAATTTTACTCGACATCAAATCTTTAGAACGATTAATTACGTAAGGGTGTTGAACATTCTTGAATAGTGATTAATTGTGCATCGGTAATTGTGTTAAATGAAAATCCCTATTTTTTCCCTTTTAATAATTTTTGCTGAAAAATATCCCTCAAATGGGGAAACTACCCGCAATCTGGCATCATTGGACAATCACTCCAATATTGGTAGCAGACCATCTCTATGCGCCAAAAGAAATAATTGACAAAGAACAATAGGTATGTAGGTGCGTTTAGATGTGCTGCGAAGAGAATTCCTTCAGACCTTTTACTCGATTTATATAAATAAATTTAAGAAAAAAAGCTCTGGAATTTTAGGAAAAAGCAATTGCTTATTTTTTATTCATAAGGTCCAATGTTTCCGGAAATTGTAAAGAATCCTTTACATTTGTCAATATGACATGCATTTTCAAGGTTTCTGAGATTTCCAAGATTTTAAAAGCATTGCGTAATACTATCAAATACATACATTATTTTGGTAGAAAAGCGACAGTTAACTACTTTGTTCATACCTTTAATAGCGGTTACAAAAGGGAGTAAGCGCAAAATCCCAATTTCTTGATCAATTTTTGGATCTACTATAAGCTTATCGGATTCTTTTGAAATTTCCGCCATGCCGCAAAACCCAATAATATTACTATTTCTTATAAGACCCCTAAAAACCTCAAACAGGTCCCCACTGGGTCCTATAAAGAATTGTTAGTAATAGAAAGAGATTAAATAAACATTTGGTGATGGTTATTGGAAGTCTCCTGAAGAGAAACAAACTTTTCAAAAAAAGCTATCAAAATTAAAAAAATGGAAAAGATTTTTAGGCATAGAAATGGTTTCTCAAATTAAGCATAAGAATTTTCTTAAGAATGAGGAAATTTTTTTTCCTTACTTTTAAGAAAATTATCTTAAGAAAGAGAAAGTTGGAGACGGATGATGTTACAAAAGCTATCTTTCAGTACGCCCTGAAGATATCACTTAATATATCGACAGAAAAATAATAATATTTAGTCTTTTCGAGGCATAGGAATGGGCAGACTATCCCGTCAACTGGTATGATGTTACTAGTATCTCTACTGGTGGATGCTGATTTAAAGCCAGACTATTAACATATCGCAACACATTGACATGTAAGAAATACTAGTCGCTAGCATGGAAAGAGGGTGGAAGATAAATTAGTTAAGCTGCAAGGCTAAACTGGTAGTATTCAAGTTCTAGTTTCCAGGGTTGCAGGGTATGTCCATATTTATGTCTTGCCGAGAATATAAGTTTAATAAATGCAGGTGTTGAATAGCCAAAATAGCAATAAATTTTTACATTTCCTGGAAACCTTTTAATTTATGTATTTTCTCAATAAATCACCAGCGTTAGAAACCAGATTATTTCTTAAAAACAAAAATATGCAGCTTCTGATAAGAAAAGTCATATTTCGTTTATGCATTTGTGTAAATGTGCATGGAATCGGAAACCCGACTTAATAAATCGATTGCTATACACATATTTACATTGCCACATTTTAAAAAAAACGGCAAAATAAAAAGAAAACCGGCAAAACCGCAGGCATCGCGTCACAGATGTAGGAATAGCAATCAGAACGCCTCATCACCGCTGCTGATTACTCTCTTCGAAGGCGAGTTCAGTTTAAATATTTATTAAACGAAGCTTTGAAAAGTGCGATCAGTGCTACCTCGACACAGTAGCCGCAACCAACAAAGTGGTGTGGGATAAGCGCGCGTGCGATTTTTTGCCATTCGATAGTGGAAAACTGGTAGTCGTCGTAGTTATTTATAAATAGCAAGAAATAAAAACCAAGCTAAAAAGAATAAATAAAAAAAGATGCGAGTGCATAAATAAAAGCAGTTAAATACCTACATACTTGTATGTAGTTGATAGAGAAAAAAATTCTGTGCAAATTACACTTGCGGGTATTCGTTTATAAGAAATTTGTAATTACTAATTACACGAGTAGTGAAAAAGTAATGCGAGTTGTGTTTGTTATTTCAAGCCATCGCTACTGAATATAAAAGTGGCAACAAGCGTTCGCAGAGTAGACGACGAGCAAGAAAACGCGTGAAGAGAACTTGCAATTCAGGCTGAGCTGGAGTGCAGAGCGACAAGAGCTTAAGTTAAAATGATGCGGGGGATTTTTCGTAAGCAACTTAGTACTAATTGATACATCTACATGTGTATTTTGTGTAAACTACATACTTACAAATAATAAAAAAATGTGCAAAGCGTTTAACCAAGTTTCCCATCCAATTTGTAGTATTCCACTCGTTGCTGGCTTATACGGCGTTTCCACGATTCGTAATTCGCTCTCCCATTCGTCATTCGCCTTGCCAATTACCTTTCGAATTACGTGATTCGCCATACAAAATTTTCAGAGCGAACTACCTGATTTGTAGGTAATTCAGATCGAATTACCATGCGAATAACGAACGAATCTGTGCCTTCTCTAATATTTATCGGAAATATATCGAAGTTTTCACCGGCCTGGTCCCAATTGCTGGCACTTTTTCTAGTTATAGAATAATATTAATAAAATATTCTCTATATAAATTAAAATCGTTTATGATAACTTAAATTTTATCACCATCATCGATATTTGCAGTACACAAAAATTATAATAAATAGCGAAGAACCAGAACAAGACCTATGGCTGCCAAACGAATTACTCATGTATGACGTGGAAACAGGGTAATTCACGAATTACCTAGCGAATAACGAATCGTGGAAACTTCGCATTACAAATTGCCTCTCAACGGCAAAGCCTTTTTTGTCAGAAACTTTTCCATGGCAAAAGTAGTCTCGGCGCTTTGCCGGTAGGTTTGGACTCTTCAGAAAAAACAACTGTTTTTTTTTTATGGCGGCTTACACCAGGAACTGATTCTGGGCCCTACCTCCAAATTAAAGTATGTACAGTTACTCCCAAAATTGAGCGTACGGCTCTTTTTTGTTAATATTCGCAATGTTTAACCGAATGTTTTAATCCGAAAATGAAACAGTCTACGAAAATTAAGACAAATCTGCAAAGTTTCAGCAAAATCGCGAACTGTTTAATACGAATTTCTAAAAATGTCAGGTATGCACTTTTATAGCCCATTAAGTTTTAATATGATAATGTGCGAATTTCAAATGTCTAAAAATTCGTCGATTTTTGAGATTTTTTTTGCTGGCTGTTCTTCGCATTTTTTCATAAGCCTTATTTTAATACAAAATTAACAAAAAATTTAGCATGTAAAACATTGCGAATATTAACAAAAAAGAACCGTACGCTCAATTTTGTGAATAATTGTATGTATTTCACAAATTTGAAAAAACAAAAAGAACGACAAAATAAGCGGAACATAAAAAAAAAACAAAATATCAGTAATCTCGAAAAATTGAAAAGTCGAAAGAGCTGGCCAAACTATGAGGGTGCGTTCGTTGTCACACAATGGTCGAAAAATTGAAATAGCTTTCCAAGCTATGAAGGCGCGTTAAAGTTCTAAAATTTGTACCATACAAATGCTTTTGAGCTCGCGATTTTGCCCAATTTTAGTATAGCATAGAAAAAAACTTGAAATGCAAATTTTTCTCAATATTCGTATGAAAGGAAAATATATATATCTTAGTTCTTAAGACCATTTGCACAGCGGATATTTTGGAAAAATGTTGCAAAATTTTACAAATTTCATTAAAAAACAACGCTCTTCATAACAATTCAGAAAAAGATCTATACAAACAAAAAATTTTCTGTAAAGGAGAAAGTGAATGTGAAGGTATTTTTAATTAGACTTAGCAACTTGAAAATCATTTGACTTTAAAAGAGTCTTGTGTAAAAGCTGTATTCACTAATCCAAAAAAGCCTTAATTTTCCAAACAAATCTATTTTAAAAATTACATTCTTTTAAATAAACTATAGTCCGGTATTTTTTGTTCGCGCATTTTCTTGCGTACAAAGTATTCGTATGTTCGAAAATTTTTTTTGTATGGAGAAAATTAGAAACACCTTCCACAAAAAAAAAAAAAAAAAAAAATCAACAGTAAACTACTTAAAATTTTCACTTCGTTTTACTAAAATTAAATGGGCTATAAAACTGCATAATCCAAATGTTCTTAAGAAATCTAAGTAAAAAGTTTAAAATTTTGATGAAACTTTGTCGAATTTTGCTAGTTATTGTACAAAACTATTTACATATATTTTCTCCCTGTATCTGCAGCTTATATTTTTCATAACCATGATGAAGTATGTTGACTTATCGGTGCAACAATGCACTTTCATCATGGGCTGGCAGTACTTTAAGACCATCAGAATTGGCAGGCAACCTAATTTTGAAGCCATCTCAAATATGTTGAGTAAAAACGCATAATCAAGACAGCTGTTCAGCAGCCAGCCCTCCGGATCTCAATTTATATATTAACAAGCTAGGCTCACAAAAAATTTCAATCGATCTGAAGTATGACGAGTTTTTTGGTCATGAGCTCTCCGTCTATGAATTTTTTGAGGATATTAGTAAGATTTTTTATAATTTTACTAGATTCAAATTTTTTTACTAAATTCTTAAAAAATTTTGATTTGAAGTCATCAGTCCAATATAGCGGGAGTACCAGTTTTACAGAATAAAACATAACCAAAGATCATAGAGAATAAAGATGCTGGCTATGTTTATAGCTCCCCTATAGTCTTTGTTCTGGATAACGAAGGGGCTGCCACGTTTGTATGACAAACTTGGGCCAGAGTATAGTAAGCCTCTTGTTAAATTAATAAAGAAAACACTGAAAATCGGGATTTAGTCGGTTCAAATATGAAATATCGGACAACTTTAAAAAATATTCAGCGGGAAAATGTTCTCAAAATCGGTACGAATGGTCACCGTAGATATGCCACCACACTAATGAACTAACTTTTTTCCAGCTCACCCACGCCGGGTTATGTATTTCCATTGTACAAATATTTGAAAACGTGAAGCATTAAAACCCATCATATTCGAAACTTACCGCGAAAAAGGACATGCATTTAAATGATATAATCAAAAGGATTTATACATACATATTGGTTATAAATACATATTCATATAATAATAATTATCATGGTATGAAAATTTTAGCAAATTGAGCACTTGCTTCTATTCTTTTCCTTTTTTTTTGAATCATAAACTGACGAAATGCAGCAAATCAATATATCGCACGTTTAGCAACATAAAGAAGTATTTCAAATTTTCAAGTTTGTGGGAAAACGCAATCAAAGTGTTATCAGTTCATACAGTTGGTATACAAAAAGACATATGGAAAGACATATATCTTCGCCATAATTGGGAAGTTTGGTTATCTGTTAGACTGAACATATTCTACTCATCGAGCTAATGAATTGTATAATGAAATCTCCAAAAACCTAAATTTTGAGTTACATCTCTATATTATTAAAGGTGCGATATGTATATATGTAAATTACTAATTTTTTGTTACCTTCTTGCTTATAGTTGTTTTTCTAATCGGCTATGTGACGGCGCACTCGCACCAATCATCTTATGACTTACAAGAGCAACAACAACAACGACCACAGCAGCAGCAAGGCCAGTATGAACAAGCGTACCCTCCATTGAATAGCCAAACACAAGGAGTACAGGAACCAAGGCAGCAACAAACGTTGCCAAGGCTTTCGAAAATGTCGGACATTTTTGAGGGGTTAGGCAATTGCCTAACAAGTATTTCACATAGATCACATTCAACACAAATGGAGCCCCGAGATATTGACGAGTCTTCACCAACACTGCAACCAGATTCCAAGCCAGCAACGCGGAATTCTAAACAACGTCCGTTACTGATACAAGCGCAACCACCTCCTTCGGCAACATACCGTCCAGTTCGTAAACCGATTTGGAGCACTACCACTCCCGCTTATTATGATGGCATGTTCAGTAGCAATGTTAACTCATTCGCTGATGGCGCCTCCACTGCAGACGCAACTGCTGGTATGGCTTCAACCCACAATTCCCACAACAACTTCAGCGCCGATCTTTTCCAGCTCATAGCCGGCTCACGGCCACAACATAACATTGTTTACTCACCTATTTCGCTACAAATGCTATTAGCTTTCGTCTACACCGGCACAAGCGGCCAAACTGCACGCCAACTGCAACGCGCACTTTCACTGCCCGACACTCCAGAGTCCACCGCACAACTTTTCCTCAACTTTCTGCAAAGACACTTGATCACCGACAAGACTCAGCTTGTGATGGCGAATAAAATGTATCACAGCCACCGGCTGACGTTGCAACCAAACATTCAGCAATTAGCACGCTCTTTCGCTAGCGATATCGAAGCAATAAACTTTGCCATGTCATATAGATCTGCGGCGGCCATAAATGAATGGATTGCACAAAAAACGCAAAATATCATAACGGAATTGGTTACGCCAAGCGAATTTGATGAGCAAACGCAGGCGATACTCGTCAGTGCCATACATTTCAAGGCCAAGTGGGCGAAGCCATTCTCCGCTGAGGATACGGAACAACAAAATTTCCATGTGACGCCAAGTCGGACGTTGCCCGTCGATATGATGTACAGCGATGACACTTACAGTTATGGTGAATTTCCGGACTTGGATGCAAGAGCTTTGGAAATGAAGTATGAAAATTCGAAGATGTCAATGCTGGTGTTGCTTCCGAATAAATTGGACGGCTTGGCGGCTATGGAACGCCGATTGCAACGCATCGATTTGAATAAGTTAACGTCATTGATGAAAATGGAATCGGTGACGGTACGAATGCCAAAATTTCGCGTGGATTTCGAGTGGGACTTTCAGGAACCGTTGAAAGAAGTGAGTATACTATAAAAGCACAGTTGTGTGCTTTCTTGAGGAGCTTTTAGAAGTGTAAGATGACAGTAATTCTGAGCCAAATCTCGAATGTAGAATTATTCCTTCAACAATATTTATATGAAAATCTGAGTTTTGAAATCTTACAAAAATAGTTGTCCCAGAAGACTCTCTAAAAAAAGCAATGTGAAATTCCAAGGATATCAAACAACGGGCTGTGAAAATCGCTTAAAAAATCACCCATCTAAATCACCTCGACCTATATTCTTTATTATTTGCATAGCTCTGAAATTCATAAATGAGTGAATAAGCAACAGTTTGCGACGAAACGGCAGACACAAAACAGTTCCCGTCATTTCTGAGCAATTCGGTCATAGAAGCCACCGTCAGAAACTAAGAAACTTCTGAAGTTGGCCTTACTCGCGTATGGCGAGAGTAATATAACTGGTTGCGAAACAGATAAAACTGGGCCGAACCCTTTAGTGGACGCATCTAAGTAATTTTTAGTCTTTAATAAAATCTTTAGTTTTTGAGCTAAGCCCTTTGCGCTCTTTCCTACTACCTCTGTTTCCAGCGTTAACTTTCCCAGACTATCTGAACATTTTTTTCAAGGCCAAGTTTAAAATTTTTAAAGATTAAAAAAAATATTATTTTTAAAACAATAACAAAAGAAAATTAAATTAAAAAAAAATTGTTTTAAAGAAAAGAAATGTATGTAATAGGTTTCTAAAAATTAAATTAAATTAAAAAATATCTATACATTTCCTATTTTAAAATAAGATATATCGCCACTAGACACGAATAAAGGACCGCGTAAAAAGACGCATAAAAAAACTTCAGCGAAGAAAGGCGTCGACGGCGAAGGAAGACGCGGTTACCTGTTTGACGGCGCAGAAAGAGGCGTAAACTTATTTTCGCGGTCAACTATGTTTGCTGGTATAATTGTAGGTGCATCCCCCAAAGAGTTTTGGGAAATAATGCTGCAGTGACAGTGCTTGCATAGGTATAAATCTATATTTGCGCGTCTTTCTCCACCGTCAACTAGGTTTACGCGCCTTTTTCGCCCAAGTTTTTTTTACGCGTCTGTTTTCGTCAATGCGTCTTTTTCGCCGTCAAAATACTGGCGCGCCACTATTCGTGTCCAGTGACGATAGGATAAATTAAATTAAATAAGAAAAAAATTAAAAAAATTCGCTGCGCCAAGACTTAAATCGGATCTTTCGATTGGCACCCCTGTGCTAGTGATAGTGAATAGTTCTTGAATCTGTATAGTCTAGTTGGTGGCAATTTCCAAACTGGCGAGTATTCAACGTAAAGCAAGGACCGCAGGGTCAAGGTGTAGGAATGGTATTTTCAGGGATTGAAGTCAGAAGTCCAAGCCTTAATTTAAGCCTAAGTGGATTTTTTCTTAATTGCGGTAAGTACTCAAACTTCCCAAAATCAGTTTTTCCTGTTTAACAAAAAACTATAAGTGACCATCAAGCAAAGGTGCAGGAATTTGCAGGGATAGTAGCCGAGATTTTCTTTCTTTAGTCTAAGCCTAAGTGGGAGGTTCTACCACCCTTTGTTTCTTTGCTAGAGCTTCTCAAATATTGCAAAATCGCGATTCTTTGACACTGACCTTGTTTTTCTTTAAATCTGGAGCTGAGGGAAACTTTATGCTTTCGTCAAAAATAGCGTTAACATTAGCTGCATCAAATTTGTTTCTATTTTTGTTGGCGTGTGTAATAACTATTGTTAAATAGCCAATACCCGCATGTTTGCGGCGCCTTCAAACACCTTTCGAACTGTAAAACAATGACTCAATTCTATTTTACGCATATCTATAATACGGGTATCGAATTTCAAGCAAATCATACCATAAATAAGAATTTTTGGAATAGATCGGTCCCTTGTGGAACTATCAGAAAAAGAGTATCCAATATTTTAACCCTGACAATAAGCTACCTACGTGCCAAGTTTCAAGCAAATCGCACCATAAATAAGATTTTTTCCAATATATCGGTATCTGGTCCACCTATTAGAAAAAGTATCCTATACTTTAACCCAGACCATACGCTACCTACGTGCCAAATTTCAAGCAAAGCGGACCATAAATAAGACTAATTTAGGCAAAAGGCTACCTACGTACCAAATTTTAATCAAATCGGACGATAAATACGATTTTTTCGAATAGATCGGTCCCTGGTCCACTTCCGGAAAAAAGCATCCCATGTGCTAATCTAGGCAAAAAGCTACCTACGCACCAAATTTTAAGCAAATCGGACCATAAATACGATTTTTTTGGAATAGATCGGCCCAACCGTTCTCAATTGATGAATTACTATACATTTTTCACACCATTTTTATATATATAGATGATCCCTCTAATGAAGCCTGAGGTGAAATTATATCTATGTTTCGATTAAGCGCAATGACTTGAAGCTAATATATTCTATCCAAGAGTAATTTCAGTGTTGAACTCCTAACCACCAAAAGTACTTTACTCAAATCGAAAATGTTTTTATTAGATAGTTGAAATAACTGTTTTTGTTTTAGGAGCCCAGTCGGCGGACACAGAACTTTACTCAAGTGTTCAAAATGGGTTTTCCCGAATCCCATTTCTGCATATCATTAAACCGTGCACATCCTTTGTCAAACTCAGTCAGCCATTGGGGTCACTTGAACACTTCAGCACTTAGCTAATAAGTAAATTAATCAGTTATCGCCTAAAACAAACAGTTAACAACAAATCTAAAGCAGACATATAATTAAATTACTATGTATATTCCATTACAGCTTGGCGTTACTCGTCTTTTTACTAAGAGCGCGGAATTAAATGGCTTCTTCCACAACCAACAGGTTGGTGTGTCACAACTGCGACACAAGGCATTCCTCCATGTCAACGAAGCTGGCTCTGAAGCAGCGGCAGCATCATGTAAGTGGTTACATACAGACATTAGGATGTTTATAATAATTATTTTTTTTTAATTTTTTAATATAAATTCTTAACTTGCCTTGCTTACTCTTTTCAATTCCTTTCTATGTATTACAGTTATCAAACTAATACCGCTCTCGCTGCCCAACCGTGTTATTCGCTTCACAGTAGACCGTCCGTTCGTGTTTGCTATTCGCAGTTCGGAGGCTGTATTTTTCATTGGACATGTGGTTAATATATAAGTAGTAAAAATATACCCACATGTGGATTTAAATGCATATTTTTCCAAGACTTATATACTTATACTTTTACTACTTCTAAAAAGTTTATACATATTTGAATTAAATTTATTATTTTATGTTTATGAAATAATGAAAGAAACAGGAAATTCAATGAAACAAAATACTCAGTTAAGCAGCATATTTATACATCGAACCTAATAAAATAAAAAAGTATTAAAAAAAAAATATTTTTTAGTCTCTAATCATAACAATGACTCACTATCAAACGAGAGCAGAGAACGAATAAAGAAATTATCATCACTACGCAAAGCATTGTGAGCATTTTTTTATTTAGTTATGCTTTACTGTTGTCGAAAAGTATGTAAACAGCGTCATATCTGGATGAGGTACATAACCTCGTAAAATAATCATTCACAAGTAGGGCCAGGTTTTCAGTGCACGGCCGTGGTTTAAACAAAGTTTAAACGCCCCATCTGGCTGGTTTAAACTAAGATCAGACAAGCTGTTCAATTTAAACTAAATTTACTTAATCTAAGTTTAAACTGGCACAGAAAAACTGGCCCGTAGTATATATTTGTGTAGCAGTTTATTAACCCCCCGCCCCCCCCCAATTCCTTTAGAAAAGCTGTTTCGTGTAACAAAACTCTTGGAAACGGATATCAGCATTTAATTTTTTTTATTGAAGAACGCTTTTCCGCCAAAAAATACTACTTCTGTTTGTTAATGAATAATATGTAAAAACTTTATCGTTACATTCTAGTACGGTCGGTAGCAATAAGTCCACTCATGAAAGGCGATTAACAGCATTACTGGTATCTGGCAGATCTGTTGAACTCACTAGTTTCTAACTGGCGCGTCGTATTGAACGTTCGCTTCGTTTTCTAGGTAACACCCGTATTAAGTATTACAATTTCTAGAGAAAAAGCTGGTAAATGACAATCTAGTAGGTGTAAAATCATGGGTGAATTGCATTGCTGGTAATCTGGCGGGTAGCTAGTGGTGGTTACCGATAGCGAGTAAATTCACCAATATCTCACTATAGCGCGGTACTAGAGGTTATGCCATTTTTTAATAAGTTAGTATTTTTTAGAAAAAATTAAAATGCGGTCTAGAAAAATATGGATCTAACTAAGAATTTTTGTGAGAGAAAAACCTTTGATTAAAGCTGAAAAAGACCAAAAAGTATACTATATATCTAAAAGTTTCCCGAACCGAAAGACGAGGAATAACCTTCTACTTAAAATAGGTAATTTGCGGAACTTCCAGACAACTATGCGCAAGGAAGAAATACTTTCACGCAAGGTTGAAAACTGCTCAAAACCAAGAGGATAAAATAAATGGAATTTTCGTGGCCGAAGGTTTACAAACGTCAAATTATCACAGTGAATTCCGCTTTCAATATATTTAAACATTAAGAATCCCAGCGGCAGTGAACTGTATTAAAATAATTTAATTGTAGGCATGATTTTTTTATCGGAACTAATAGAACCAACGCGTGCAGAAAACAGCACTAAGTTTGCATACCGTTTATACTGTTTTCGTGTTCCTTTTTATATATGAAAAATTCCAAGTAGATTGGTGAGTGCTAAAGAGCTAATATTTTTATCTCTCAACACCTTGCTGCAAAAAGCTATTACCTAATCTTTGCCAAGGCAAGGCAGAAAAATAAAGGAAGGACGAATGGGGTTGCCAAGTATGCCTACCACAGTCAGGTGTTTGTGCCACGAGAAATACCACAAGTGGTCTGCAGTTCTAACTGCTCAATGAAACGAAATGCCTTTATAGACCTCTAAGTTGAGGCCAATATGTGCTTTGCCCAACTGAAGCTCCGCTATACCTCCCACGTCACGTCTAAGCGAAATATTAACCCCATTTCTAACCAGCAGGTTAAAGGTAGAAGTCATATAACCGAATGCCTCGAGAGCATCTTAAGTGCCACTGCAGATACCTAAACTCCTACCTCTCCAGATATTTTTCTTCAAGTAAATAACCTATACCTAGAGGATTGCAAATATAAGAGAGTGAGCGAGCGGCCTAGGCAAGCTGGCATTGTAGAATCTATTTAGCAAAGACAATGGAGGCGTACTATTGTATGTTGTGATATTCAAAAGATGATAAAATTTATCTCTTTGCCTCCAGCAATTACCGCCCCACTTAATACTGAGTCATGCCTGTTTTAATTTCCTTTAAGCCTACAAATAGCCTTAAGGGTCCCCCGGCGGACAAAGACCGCGATTTCGGCTTAGTAAGACAGAGAGTCTGTGCCACCGCACCATATAGGCATAGCATTGGATGACAGACCCCACATTAACCTATAGACCTGTTCGCATTGCCAGAAAGCTGCGAAGACTTGGATGGAGGCCTTTTATTCAACGAAACTATGTAGCTGCACAGACCTGACAGTTTATCCCGACGATCGCCCTTAGCTGCGAATCTGAAATTAAAGAAAACTCGAGGATGTTATCTGGGCGCTTCTAAGTCTATGTTTGTATTTCAAGGTCAATATGCTTGGACCTCACAAGTGTCTACGAACTTTATGCACACACTGTAGCGCGGCTATTAATTTAAGCAAGAATATTTGTAATCTAAGCACATTTAAAACTAGGTGAAAGTGGCGCTGCGCAAAATAAATTCAGTTGGACATAAAGCGATAAAGCGTTCGCATTCTCGGAAAACATAGCTTCTTGAAATTTTTTCGTAAGCGCAATTGATTAACTGGAAAAAATCAGTAAATTATGATACTCAGGTCACGTAAGTCAGTTTTATTGAATTTGTTGTTTAATAAGTACATTGGAACGTTGTTATTTTCGTCCGACTAACGCATTGTACTCTACCTATTTTGGTGCTGCAGTTTTCGTTGCGCTTAGCCGCATTTTCGTGCTCCAGACGATCGCTGCCAATGCGCCTACGCTCACCGCCAAAAATGCTAGCGATCGCTTTGCCTTGTCACTCTCCACAGCGCTAGGCTTGCAGTCGTCGGCACAGAATGTCGTCATCTCTCCTGTGTTGGTACAAGCCATTCTCACACTACTCTCCTATGGCGCCAGCGACGAGGCCGCTACCGCCCTACGGACTGCGCTGCATTTGCCACCAACGGATACGAAACAAACTGCTACGCTGAATATGTCGCTGCTATTAAGCTCAGTTAAAGCGCGCGCTCCAAGCAACGCTCGCTTGCTAAGCGCCATCTATGTGCAGGAGCACGTCATGTTCAAATTCCAGGAGGAGTTCTTAGAAATGTCACGACATTTTGAAACATCCACCGAAATGGTTAACTTTAATCGAAAGACCATTGATGAGCTGAACTATTGGTTCTTAAGTCAATCGAACTACACTTGCGGTGAGGTACTTAATCCACAATTGGCCGAATTGCGTGAACGCTTTGTCCTAGCCAGCGCGGCAGTGTTTCACGCTCCATGGGCGGTGGGTTTCAATGTGAAGGACACTGAGAAATTGAATTTTTTCACCGATCGAGTGAAACACAAATTAGTTGATTGCATGCTTGTGACACACAAATTTCGTTACGCGGAATTCACGCAGTTGGACGCCAAATTGGTTGAGTTGCCATATGCAAATGGTACGTTCAAACTGTGGCTATTGGTGCCTAACAAGGTGGATGGTTTACAAGAACTTGAACAGCGGCTTCAACACGAGGATCTTGCAAAGCTCGATGAGCAGCTGAGTGAACAGAGAATAGCGCTAACGTTGCCGAAATTCCGCGTCGAATACAATATCGACCTCAAGGAGGCGCTGAGTGCGGTTAGTGTGCGATATTTATTTATTTTTTTTCTTCTTTTAATTTCCGTCTTATGTATTTGTTTGCCTTAAATTGATTTTTCTGCTTTCAGTTGGGTTTCTCTAGCATTTTCAATGGTGAAACGAAATTCTCGCATATGTTCTCCTCCTTTTTCAATGCGCGCTCCCCAGCTGTGACAAATGTGGCGCACAAGGCTGTCTGGCACGTAGATGAAACAGGCGGTGCGAGCGATGAACAGTTTTGTAAGTTAAAGGCTGAGATTTTTCAAGAATTTGGGTTGCTACTTTATTTATTTTTCTTTTACTTTTTAGCGCTCAGTGGCCTTTTCAGGCGCCCCATGCAGTTGGTAGTGAATCATCCATTCTACTTCTTGATCAAATCTGAGGTCGCGGTTTTAATGGCTGGACATATTGCAAATGTCTAAGTGAAGCAAAGTAAATGAAGGAGTAAAGTCAGCCAGCTGATTGTCAAAACTGAGTTATTTATAGCATTTGTTTCACAATATCTGAACTTAAAAAAATATACATAGAAGCTTTTTTATAAAAGTAAAGTGAAAACGATTTATTTATATTGACAAATCTTGTGGAGCATTAAAAACTTAAATGCGACTGCACTGTAAAGCATATGTGTTGACCTCTCGCACTAGACCCACAGGAGCGATGAAAGCAATTAGTACCTAAAAATAATCTAGCTGCAGAGCCTATCAGAACAGTGGTAAGCTTCACCTACTTCAAACCAGCCATAATGATGTAAAGTAGAAATCCCTAGCTGGGTGCAAAGTATTAATGATGTTTCGGGACCGAATCAGTGTTTTCGGTTCTACACTGGCGGATCAAAAAATGCACAAAAAGTCATTCCGCACACTGGGCCATTGCAGCGCTTTCCAAGCCGAAC